CGCCAGCACCAACCGTTTCTAACCGGCAACAACTGCTTCATCCTTGTCCTGCGGGAACCCCTCCATTTCTTCTTCGCGTTCAACCTCACCTCGCAAATATCGCAACCATTTTGATGAGAGGTGCACCTAGTTTGCGTGACATATGAAGAGATACCCATTTAGACTATTATTTTGACTTCATCAATCATGAGAACCCAAATAAATTGGCCATGAAACGCAAATATAAAACTGTTGCATGGAAGAGATGGCGCGAACCGCAACATTTGACTTAACGGAAAAAGTAATAAATGCAGAAAATATACTTAAGCAAAGAATGTATTCAAATGAAGAACTTGCAGTCGAACAGTGAAAACGTGACACGCATTCAATTCGTAGCACCCTTTGCTTGACACAGGTAAGAATTAAGCCTATGGCTCAGACTGATATAGCCCCATGGACCTGGCGCTTTGAGCGGTGGATGGTCTAGCCAATGGCCTAGGATGGCATAGCCTAATGGACCTGGCGGTTTAAGTGGTGGACGACATAGCCTATGGTCATCATTTTAATGATCTGGTCTCGTAGGCGTCGCGCGTTGCGGTGACAGCCACCACCACAACTTCTTCCCAGCACAAACAATACCCTTAGCATCACCGTTTAGCACGTGTGTTATTAGCATTAGCTTATGGTTCAGGTACCACTGGTTCTGAAACAGTACGGGTCATTTCCAAGAACTTGTTCGAATGTAGCACAGAGGGAATTTAGCGCATGTACAGCAGATTACTAACGAATAATTGCTGAAAATGCCTCGCCTCCACATTAGCACCAGTGAGCAACAGGTTGAGCGTCAAGTGTGAGTTGCAGCAGAAGTAATTTTCCGTTGTAGCAGCAATGTGAAACAAATGTCCTCTCCATACAGCAAAATGTACAGCTTGACAATGTTCGCTGCACAAACGACTGTAGTGATTTGAGATGACATGGAGAGGCCTGACAAAATGTCCCGAGTTCCGTGGTGTAATGGTACTTGACTGGCAAAGAAGAGGTCCACTTCGCACCGCAACTGCAGTGGCAAACGAAGTTTCCGCGCCTGCACCAATCGTTCATTATCTGCAGCGACTGCCTCCTCGCCATCTTGTGGGACCTCTTTCTACATTTTTTTATTTCATGTTCAATCTCAGATCGCAAAAATCGCCTCCATTTTCATGGGAATAGCGGCTTGCGCGACGTATGAAACAGAGAGGTTACGTTATTACAGGGTGACTCAAAAGTCCTTGAACACCTTTAATCAAGTGTAGTATTCTCTAATGAAGACCAATTTAATTTCTGATTTGACCAGTGCAAAGATCACAAAAAAACTATGTTTTTATGTTTGAAAAATATCACAATTTGAGCCAATTACCTGCTTCAGACGTTTTGGGAACTCATTTACGGTTCTTCACAACTGATCAATCGACAATTCCTTCCATTCCTTCAGCAGATCAAGCTTCAAGCTATTGATACTCTTGTGTGGCTTGCAGCAGACCTTGACCTGCAAGTAGGACCACACACTGTAATCCAATGGATTCAAATCAGGACTACCAGCAGGCCATTCTTCTGGGGAAATCAAGTCTGGAAAGTGAGTTCTGCAGAGGTCGATGGTGGTTTTGCTTTGTGAGCTGGTGCTGAGTCCTACTGGAATGTCCAGGGCTAGGATTTGAAATTTCCTGAGTCAAGGGGAGTAGCACCTTCTTCAACACACTCTTATTAGTAGCTGGCATTGATATTGGCCTGAGGCTGCACAAAATGCAGGGGAGTTTTGCCAGAAGCACGAACATCACGCCACACCATCACACTACCTGGTTTTTGAACTCGATTGACATATCGCTGTTTAGACTTGATAGAGGAAAGCTTTTTACCCCAGAGGCGATTGTTTTGGGGGTTGTAAGCTTGCTCTACAGTGAACATTTTTTTGTCAGAAAAAACAATCCTTTGGAGTGAGGACTGGTTAAACCGTTTGAGCAACTGGCGGGACCTCTGAACTTGTTTCTTCATGTTGATCTCTGTAAGCAGCTGCACCTTTTGTTTTTTAAAAGGCTTCATGCAGAGCTTTATCCTGATGTATCATCGCAAGATCTATTTGTCTACTCTCAAGGTTTGCGCAAGCTTTCTTGAAGAATGCTCTGGATTTTGGTATAGCATTTGCCTGACTCGGTTCTGGAGCTTCTTATCCTGGAACACGGAAGGACGTCCACTTCTTTGGCGATCTGCTGCTGATCCAAGCTCATTGTATCGCCGAATAATGCTGTAGATAGTAGATCGAGGAGTTTTGGTGAGCTTTGAGATCCTGCTTGCTGGAAGACCACTCTGAATTTGAAAAATCACTGCTTCTCTTTGATGTTTGGGAACCATATCAAAAGATTTCGACCTGAAACTTGGAAGGCAAATAGATCTGTAGTAGATGTTGCTTCACTCAAAAAATCACCTGGCTATCATTTGTCGAACGGTTTTTTCAATAGGTGTCTAAGGACTTTTGAGTCACCCTGTATTATGATTTTATCAATCGTGAAAACTCAAATGAATCGGCCATGCCATGAAACGCAAACAAAAAACTTATTGCATGGAAGCGATGTCCCGAACCGTCATGCCTGACCTAATGGAAAAAAAACACGTGACATACATTCTGTTATTACCACCTTTGATTGACACAGCTAATTAAGAAGCCTATGGCTCAGACTGATATACAGGGTGACAATAAAGTCTGTAGACAGTGCATTTTCTCCCTGCCATATTAATCAAATAATGCAATTTTTTGCGTGCGCATAGGCGATGCTGTCATGTACTAGATCCCAAAGTTTCAACTCTTTTGTGCAAAACCTCAGGAGGCTATACCAGCGCGAAACCATCACCGGACTCCACAAATCTGGAAAGTCAGTTGCAGAATGTGTTCGCCTTCTTGGTACGCCACGGACCAGCGTCTACAAGGCAGTGAAACGCTTCAAGGATCTTGTTATAAGTCTTGACTACCCCAGGAGCGGCCGCCCAGCAACTGTCAATGTCCCCAAGGTCAGGAAACGTATGCGACAACTGCTCAGACGCAACCCCAACTGCTCCATGAGTTCTCTTGCCTCCCACCTTGGTATTAGCAGAGAGTCTGCTCGAAAGATAGCCAAAGACAGGCTAAAGTTGAAGCCTTACAAGGTTCAAAAGGTGCAGCTGCTAACCCCTGGACAGCAACAAGCCAAGCTGCGAAAAGCGAAAGCGCTACTCAAGAGGTTCGGTCGCAAAGGATGAGAGAAAATTCTCTTTACCGACGAAAAGATCTTCACTGTAGCTCAGCATTTCATTCGCCAAATGTATCGCTTCTGGCTCCGGAACAAGCACCACCCTGGCCGCTTCCGGGAGCATGTTCAAAATCTCAATTCTATCATGATGAGGGTTGGATAGCCGCCGAGCACAAAACTCCCATTCACGTTGTTGCCTAGGGGTTGAGGTGAACAAGGAGTACTACTGCCGGCAGGTTCTGGAAGCTGTGGCTAAACATTGGACAGCTAAGACCTTTGGGGACCAACCTTGGACTTTCCAACAGGATTCTGCACCTTCACATGCATCCAGAGTCACAATTCAGACTCCGAACCAATTTTCCGGATGTTATCAGCCCTGACGAATGGCCCTCCAGCTCACCAGATTTAAACTCTATGGACTTCTCGATTTGGGCCATACTAGAGCAGAAGGCATGCTGCAAACCCAACAGGAGCTTAGCCTCTCTCATCATTTCTTAGAATAAATCTTGAGTAGAAAGACCCCAAGAAGTGTTGCGAGCCGCAGCCGAATTATTCATCACACGTATGAGGAATGTTGCTAAGACCAAGGGTGGCTACATTGAACAAGAATACAATTGTTGGTTACTCTAAGTAGATTCTTAATGCAGAAAAAAAGAAACCCATTTGCTTCAATCTACTCAGAGATAAGTACAAAAATACGTGTCCACAGACATTATTGTCACTCTGTAAGTCGATGGATCTGGCGCTAAAAGCGTTGGATGTCCAAGCTTATGGTCTAGAATAACATAGCCTGAAGGACCTGGAACTTTGAGAGGTGGATGGCCTAGCCTTTAGCCTGAAGTGACATAGCCTTGTAGGCCTTGCGCGCTGGGGTGATATCCACCACCGCCACAACTCTTGGGCTCTCCGAATTAAAGTATTAGATGGCCGGGAAAGGGATAGCCTTGTAGGCTTGGCGCTTGAGGCTGTGGATGGCCTAGCCTATGATCCAGAATGGAATTGCATCGTAGGCCTGCGCGCTGGGGGTATCAGCCACGGCCACCAGCACCGCAACATCTGACCTCTTCGAATTAAAGTAATAGAGAAGTGGTGAAATTCCAGTCGGGATGTTGCTTGACGATGTTTTAGGATGCAAGTCCCCTGGAAACTGGAATCTGTCGAAAGAATTCACTGATTGCTCAGCTCTCGCCTTTATGGAATGAAACGATGTTCGCCAGCAGAAAAGTCCACGATTTGATGAAGGCGTAAAAACGGAATTTGTGCAGTTTCCAGTTGAGTGAGGAATTCTAACTAAAAGTGACACGTCGATTCGTCTCGGCAAATTTAAAGGCGACGTTATGTCACTGACAGTCAGTGGCAAACATGATCATTTGTGCATTCGTCATGTACTGTATTCGTCATCGTTCATATTTTTAGCGAAACGGTCTTCCTCTTAGCATGTTATCTAGAGGAATGCCAAGTCTGTCATCGCAACACTCCTACAAGATAACGGCTGAGGGGTGGAGGGTTTCGTACAATAGACGCTACTGCAGGGTGGCAAAAAAAATACTTCGCATGTTATTGACCAATATTTTCATTATCATGGTAAATTACATGCCATATGGCAGATGAACTCAGTTTTTATATGAAGAAACATGTTCAAATTGTTCACTATTACTTTGGATAATCCCTTTGCAACATACGGCAGTATTTTTACTAACATCGTCCATTGTCTTGTGTGTTATATCTCTGAGCGCTGTAATCGCAAAACATTTGAGTCTATCAATGATGTGTGATTTCGGAGTGAACACATATTCTCTAAGGTAATCCCATAACAAAATATAGCAGTGTAAAATCAGAAGAACCAGCTGGCCATGAGGTATCCCCTCCTATGCTCGTAAAGCTTTCCCTTTGATGGTGTTTTATCAGGAAATCATGATCTAAATTCTCTCTTGACAGTAACAGGTGAATGCATTTCAATAAGTGTCTGCATGGTGTACAACTTTTGCTGTTTCTTTTGCAAGATAAAACAGTCCCATTAAATCCAATGATTAAGAATAGTGCCAATAAGTTTCATGAACCAGGAAGATCTCATGATATTGGACTTTTATTCTTTTTTAAGGGGTTTCCTTGAGGAAAAGGAGTTCTCTGGAAATCTACATATCATTGATAGACTCAAATGTTCTGCGGTTACAGCGCTCAGAGACATAACGCACAAAACACTGAAAAATGTTATTGAAAACACTGCTGTACGTTACCAAGTAATTATCAAAATGAATGGTGAACAGTTTGAACATGTTTCCTAGCATTAATAAATCTTATTGAGTTCGTCTATCACATTACATGTAATTTAATTTTCTACCTCAATAAATACTGAAAATATAGGTTAATGAAATGTGAAACATTTTTATTGTATATCGTCATCCTTGTATATCGTCAGAGTAAAAATCTAAAAGATCTGTAAAAATGGAGATACCAACTTGTATATAAAAAAATAAATGATACCACAGTCATAAACGTAAACTCAAGCGTATGCGGTCTCCATCATACTTGTTTTCCTACCATCCTTGCTTGTGGGTGTACATCATTCTCTATGAACCTCCAAGTGTTAATTTGGGATAAAAGTTTGTCTGACAGATTTGCAAGTTTCTTCTCCAAATGTTGCTCCTGCTAGAACAAATTTACAAGATGCAGCGCAAATATTCTAGAGTCACTAGAGTTCGCGAAATGAAGGAATCTGAAAAGCACAACATCAGATATGACAATTAGTGTTGCCTGCCTTCCTTGTACAATTTTTCGCTGAGTCATCTCGTATTCGTGATTCCTAATGAAAAGAGGGTCCTACAGAAGAGTGTTTCAGAAAAAATAGTCTAAATAGGTAGCAAATGATGAAATTGGTTTGCGCGGAGATGCATGAAATGTAAACCTGTGTAAACAATATGTAAATAACTTCAAGATGTGCTTTTTTTTAAAAAGGAAGAGTAACTTCTGTCCAGGCGAAACTGGGCATTTCAAACGGACCCACTTCATCCCTAGATATTCTAAGCAATATATGGCTCCTCAAAAGTTATATATGCTCATTAAATTTTGAATATCATCTTTTTCGTTAAATTTTCCTCAGAAGGAGGGCACAGAAGAAGAGGAAGATGACGATACAGAGAATAAGGCAGAGGATGAGGAAGAGGAGACGGGAGACGAGGAAGAAAGTCGGGAAAAATATGGAAGTTCGGGAAAGTCATGGTTAGCTGTTCCGAATACGGCTGGAAGTACGAGAATCCCGCGAGTTATTGGAGTCGGGAGGGAGACCCCCCCGAGACCTGAAATCCCGCGCAGTCCAAGAATCAGGAAGAAGCCACCGGCCCCTAGTGTCCCAAAGGTGACCCTGGCTGAAAAAATGAAGGTCTCGGCGGACTTGATCCAGCCTGGGGTCGAGGGGAAACCGGCCATCTACGAGCTCAGTAAATCCGTCGTGGTGGAAAATAAGGATCTTGGAATAGTGAAATTCGACATCGGACGACGGCTTCATACAAAACAGGAAGAGAGGGTTCTCATGATCGTGGGACAGACGGGCGCAGGTATGGCAAGGCTCCAAACACTGGAAAAAGCAAAAATGTTCACGCTGATACTGAAAAATCTTGCTTCTATGAATGACTTTGGAATTCATGTTTTTCATTGTAATACTACAGACAAAAATACACATTTCCCATATCAAGGGTGCAGTTGATAGGTTGTTCTTTCTGTAGTACTACAGTGAAAGTAAGGAATTTCCAATGAACCCGTTAAATAATTATTTATAGATTAAAGTAGTAAAGAATACAGTTGCGCTTTAGCCGAAAGACAAATGCAATTTAAAAAAATTATGCTATGAAAAATCGTATCCTTTCATTGTTTCAAAAAAGTACTAGTCGTATTTAAGTATTAGCAGTTTAAAAAAGGAAAGATCCATTAGGTTGGGCAAGGATTGGCTAGACACCGAAATCTAAATGAGTTAGAAATACACGCCTTATTATACTCGTAGCTGCCAACACCTGTGGATCAGTTAAGCAAGGCATTTTCCGAGCGTAAGCTAGATCATCTGAAAGAGATGAGTTATTGATATACCCCGCAAAAAAATATTAGCGAAATAACATATGAAGAAGTTTGCCTCACACACATGGGGCTTTGAAAACAAAACTCGAATTTGACCTCCGCTCACGTTTTCCTTCACTTGCAGCATATTATCTGGCGAGAAACGGCGAGAAATGCCTGAGTTCGGAGATCAACTCACTAACGTACCTCCAAAGTACTCAGATTCAATTCGTAATGCATTTTTAAGTTCAGAAAAGAAGCTCCTTTCCAATGACATACATAACTGAATTCGACAGTGGTTCAGAAAAGCCTGTATTAGTGGAACCTCCTTCAGGCAGGATGTTTTGCACAAAGATTGATCTGAGAAGAATGGTAAAATTCCTTTACGGGCATTGAACAGGGAATATTTCGATAGCTAGCTCGTTTCGAACTAGAGAACAAGGAACCTATATAGTGAAACATAGTGGTGCCATGAAGTGTGCGTTTTGCAGTGCAGGTTTCGCCTACGTTCTTCATGGAATGCATTCAAAGCTTGAATTTCTGTTATAAATGTGTTAGACTTTTTTCAGAGGCGACCCTTCCTCATGGAATTTCCCATCCCTCAGGAAAGACAACGATGATCAACGGTTTGACGAACTACGTGTATGGCATCGAATGGAAAGATGACTTCCGGTTCAAGATAATCACTGAGAAGGGCGACGTGAACGCGGATGACAAGGCCCACAGCCAAACGAAAGGGGTCTCGGCCTATTCCTTCAATTGGAAGCAGGGGATGAGGATCCCGTACACGCTCACGGTGATCGACACACCTGGCTTCGGAGACTCTGAAGGCCTCCACAAGGATGAGGAGCTTGTCGTCAAGGTCAATCTCCAGTTCCAGCAATAAAATGTTGTGGTTGCCTGGGGAAAAAAAAGTTTCACAATATCTTGGCTGTGATAGCAAGAGCTTTCCCATTGTCAGAAGCTGACGTTTACCTTTACTTCACTTTTGGCTAATTTTCTTTTCTTTTTCTTAATGTGAATTTCAATTGTTGAGCATATTCCCTTCATCCGCTGCTTCCTGAGAGATTCTTAATAGCGTCTTCCAATTTATAACGACCGGCAGACATCCAGTCGATACGCCTCGTGCAAGGCGGTTGGATTGAATCGCGAACATCTGCCACGAGAAGCTTGGTATAAACACAGCTGCTCGAACACTGAAAGGTACTTCTCAGCTTGCTCCAGTGGCGGCTCCATTAAGTTGGGGTAAACAGTTTAGAAATTATTGGAATTTTTGCCCTTGTAATTGTGTATAATTTTGTAGTAATGCATCCCCACAAGCGAATAAATCAATTCCATTCATTTGTCAAAGAGAGAGGAGGAAACTAGAAAATTGTGTCTCTAACACGTAGTCGCATGGTTCATTTCAAGGAATTCAAGGAATTTCTCGCAGTAATTCTCCGTCTTCAGCTCCAATAATTAAACTGTCCAGTGCCAGTTTTCCTTGGAACTAGATTATTAAACGAGTTTCATCCACATCCCGTAGGAATTCCTGCGATGATGCTGGAATGCGTCAATTTCAGTTGGAAATTCAAGACTCTATCATCTAACACTTCTCTCACACTTCACATCCCCATATAAAATAGATTTACTGTAGATTCACCGAGCAAAATTATTTTCTTCAACAGATGCGAGAGTTCTTCGAGCTATGCGAACCACATGGCTTGAACACCGTGAACGCCGTGGGATTTGTGCTGCCCGCTTCCATTGCAAGGCTGACGGCCTCGCAGAAGTATATTTTTCACGCCATCACCCAAATGTTCGGCATCGACACGAAGAAAAATTTTATGCTGCTTGTCAGCTTCTGCGACGGGCAGGAACCAGCGGCCATCGTCGTCGTGAGGAATGCGAAGCTGTTCTATCAAAACTTTCACCCTTTCAATAACTCGGCCCTCTTCGCTAGCAATAAGGATCGGATGCAAGAGATGTTCTGGGAATTGGGACTCAAAAGCAACAAGAATTTCCTGGAAGCTTTAGGCGAGATGACGCCCGTTGGCCTCGCCATGACGAGGGAGGTGCTTGTTGAAAGACGAGCTCTTGCTGAGAACCTAAAAAAATTGCAGGAGCAAATCCCAAGAGGTGGGAGAATTCTGAGTGACCTAGGAGTATTTTTTTCAAGTCTCACTTCTTTGCAATATACATAATGTAGATGTAGATGTAAATGTGGCTCTTCGTGCTGGTTTCAGATGTGCCCATGTTGCTTCGTAAGAGCGAGGTATTCGTGAAAGGCTTCTCAAGCTTCAAATTTGGAAAGAAATACTAATCATAACTCACACAGGTGATCAAAGTCATGTAAATTTTGGGTTCTCAAACTTTATCCAATACCTCCTACAAAATACATTTGGCAGTAAATTTAGTTCTGATGGTATAGTACTGTGCATGGTCATTGGTCTTTCCTTAACGTCAGTCGCATCAAGTACGTTATATTCAGACATTATCTGGCATACTCCTTCTTTCTCTCTCTACATCTCCCATAACTTTGGCGAGAGATCCAAGAGACGGCGCAAACGAGTCTCGCTACTTGATAGTGATTTGATCCATTTCCTTTCTTCTTCAATTGATGACGTTCCCTTCGGTGTCATTACAGCTACATCCAGCTTAACTGCTCTTCAGGAAGAATGCAGACTCCTCAGAGAAAAGAGAGAGGAGGTGACAAAGGTCGCGGATGTCGCGGAGAAGCGAGTGAAAATCCCACTTGAGAAGGAGAAGGCTGTAAATTGCAACGAGTGCAGTAGGACCACCTGCGAATACCCGGCATCGACTTCCAAACCAAAGGACGTCAAGCACTGCCATTGTATGACCTGGAACGAACAGAAGAAGATGATATGCAGTAAATGTGGCTGCTCCTGGAAGAATCACTCTCTGGAAGCCAAACGCTATGAAGAAAAGTCGATATTGAGGAGCAAAACTCGAGAAAACTCGGCGAGAGTTACTCATCAGATTAGGACCCAAGTGAATCTTGAGAATAAAGTGTTGGAACTTACAACTAAAATTAAGAAAAACCAGGTAGAGTTGTTCGCCCAGATCCAGAAGGCTCATAAGACCACCGCCCGTCTGAAGGAAATTGCTCTAAACCCAAGTCCTTTGACAATGGAAGAGTACATCGACTTCCTGATAGAAGCAGAGAGAAAAGGTGCAGAAGATGGATTTAAGAATCGGATCGCGCACTTAGAGGAAGCAAAGAGAGCATCTGTTTTATGCAAGCAGATCTTAGATGAAAATGGCTCCAGCGAAGCCATCATGCCTAACGTCATGACCATACTGGAGAACGAAAATATCGATTTTTAGACGCTGGGGGTCGTGGAAACTCCAGATGCTGCAATACACCAGCCAAACAGCATGATGGGAACTCTTAAGGCTTTCTTCATCTCCATCCTTGGGAGGAACTCAAGGAAGACATGAATCGGAACATCATACTTTTATTTTATTCAGAAGACATTCGCTAAGCAATTTATTCCTTCCAAGTTAATTGTTATTGACTCAAAAACTGCTAAATACATGAATTTCCATTGTTTTTTCTCTCGCAATGTTTCCGCATTTCATATATGTGATACGCGTAGAAGTCATTTGCTTCTTGTATTTTGGGGATCAATTGCTCCGAAGAGTCATGTCTCATCTGAGCTGGAGTATGGTTTTGCAAAATCGCGTGGTGGAGGTTGTATATAAATTACCTTTAGATTCAGGTTTGAGATTCCCTTATATTTGTCAACTTTTTTTTTTCAATATTTGTCAGAAAGCAACATTGAAATCATCACTACAGAAGACTTTGGTCTTTCTTCAGCAATGTGTCTAGTTCGAAGTACATATTCGTATTCCTTCCCATGAAGAAAACTAAAAATTTGCATATTTTCTGCGCATTTGCTTCAGCATATCAAGCATGCCGTGAAGCTCAAATGGTGTGTTTAAACGTTTGCAATGATCAAAAATTCAGAGATTCACTTCAACCCGTTCCGATCAGGAGACTTCCAAGCAGACACGCAACAACACCACCGCATAATTTGTCAGACGTTGTTGTTTATTCCATTTGTAATGTAATGGATTTTGAAGAATCTTCTGTGGACCGAAGAAAAACTTTTGGGCCCTCTATACGAATGGCTTTCACTGGTCACGATCAGGAGCTAAACATATTTCCACGACTTTCCTTCCCCAGATACAAGTAGAAACGAAGCACTGAGGAAATCAAGTCTCGGTCATCTGTATCATAATACGAGTTTGTTTGCCCTTCGGGCAAACAAACTCGCTGTGGTCGCGCCTTCGGCGCCCCATTACCTTGGATAGTGCTTAATTCATTTATTCTCTGCGAAATGGCAAACACGTATTTAAAGTACGTCCCATTGGAATATGTGACATATGGGGACGAAAGTCCTCATTTTTATCAAAATCATTACTTCTATTATTTCTAGTGTACCTAACTTGATATCTCTTCGTGTGTCCCTTTTTGTGAAGGTGGAGAATACATTTTCAAATACTTCCCTCCTATAATCTATGCTCATGAGGCATATTTCAAAATTAGGATTTTTCCTGTACTCAGCCATCAAACAGGTACTTTTGAAAGGAATTTTTAATTATCCGTTTCTGTTTCGTTGGATCGAAAAATAATTCACGAAAATGGGACTTAAAAAAAGTGGTCTGATGTTTTTAAAAAGAAAATTTGTTATTTTGAAATATAGACTCAGGGAACTCTATGCCACATACTTTCAGCCTCATACGTTTCCCCATTTTGCTGGCGGTAAAAAAAAAAATAAAAATATATTTGGAAAAGCAACCCATCCAAAAGCTGTTCTCTGGGGAGACGCTCAGCAAAAGTTGAATTTTTCCTTAAATCAACATCATCCGTTATGCGTGCGCCAGCTGCTATTTTTCTATTACTGCCCGATTCGCAGGGAAATTTGAAATTCTTTGAAAAAGTTACGTCCTCATGAAATATGCCCAAAAAATATTTTGGAAATTCGACATTTGACATTTAAGCAGAGTGCTTCCCCAGTCACGTTCTTGCCATGTTACAGCTTTCCATGGTCTTCCATGGGTTTGATTAAAGCAAAGAGAACTATTTGAAAAGATGTTTCCCGAAAAGGTGTGCCCCTATGGCGTGTATCACAAAAGTGGAATTTTTCCTGAACTCAGCATGTGAATAGCTACTTATATCAGTCAGCTACTTTCGATCAGCTATATATAATATAGAAGTAGAATTGTTTCTTTACTTCTTGCTACTCATCTTTCTATTTCTTTGCCAAGTTCAGCCTTTCCAGCAAACTCCGTTTTGCTGGATCAGAAAATTCAGGAAAATTGGCAAAATATGTGCCCTCGGGCGTTTTAACCGAAAAGTACCATTTTTACCGAAATCAAACCTCATTGAACTTAATGCCCACAAAGTATCAATATTATACGTTTGCCTTTTTCGCTGGTGAAAAATGATGTTTGGAAAGCCGACCCACCCAAATGCTATGCCCGGAGGGGATGCACCATGAAACCTGAATACTCCCTCAACTCCAATACACCAGGACAAAAAAACACTGAAAAACGTTGGCCCCCAAAAATATGCCCCCAGGGCATCGATCTAAAATTTTGCATTTTTCCTGAACCCATCGTGTCGGTAGGTACATCCATGGCACGTTTCAGCTTTCTATTTCTCTCCGATTTACTCAAGCCACGGGACATGGAAGGCAAGAGAATCCAAAAAAAGGCATGAAATGGGTGGGAATTGAACCCAGGTATCACGATTATGGGTTGGATGTGCTACAACTACTCCACCGAAACGGCAACGTAGAGGTGCATCTCTCGAAGACATTCTTATCCATGACGATATATATTTTAAAAAAACTTCTCCCCCCAAAATGTGTACCCCCAGGCGTTCGGTGCATATTCAATCACCCGTATTCAAAGTGAAGAGGCATGGAAGAAATATCCTGGAAATTATTGAACTCCTCTNGTCAGTCAGTCACGATCGTCTATATATATTAGATGTTTCCTGGACAGAGATTTATTCTAAGTCTAGCCGACCCGTGGAAGACTTCCACGAACTCTTCGGTTGGAAATCTCGAGTTCATTCGGCGGCCCTAAAACTCAGGGGCTCTCTCATCGCTATAGCAGCAGCCCCTCTTTCTCATTCTTAACGCGTCCTCACCAACAACCCATGGAGTCCCCTTTCATCCCGTTGAAGGGAGGATGACTTCCTCGCCGGGGGGAGATCTTCACCCTTACGAGGTACATTAATAGCCACTTTTTCCCAGTAATGGGGGGGGCGGGGTTGCGCGAATCGTACAATGACTCTCTCCTATTTTTAAGAACAAATCAGACTGTTGCTATGGCCGGAGAGAAAGTGCAAACGTGAGAAGTGCACCCCAATTCACGAGGCCTTCCACGAACTATTTCTCGGGAATTCCCGAGCTATGTCAGCAGCCCAAAAACTCAGCGGCCCTCTCAACGATATAAAGCAACAGCACCTCCATATTATGCAGAGTCAAAGTTTCGCGTAGGAGCAGACGAAGTGATTGGCTGTGGACGGGAGCCGTTGAGTTCGGGAAGTATGTCACTTGCTCCCATACTCAACAATGGACCGCGGAGGGTTGGCTCGCTTCTCCCTCCTTCATCTCGAAAACGGTTCGGTTTTCGAAAAACCGCATTCAAACAAGATTTGTAGCCCAGAGTCTGCCCTAGTCACTGGTACGATTTTTTTGTGCTGTTTGACCATATTTAAGAAAGATAAACATACGTATTAGATAATGCCTCTCATCATACGCTTCCCTTTCCATCAGACGCCGTCCATCTCACTCCTACATCTCGAAAGCAGCACGATTAACGAAAAATCACTTTCTGACGAGATTTGTTGTTTCGATTCCACCCTAACCGGTGGTATACTTTTTGCAGCTGTGAGCCTTCATTTTAGTGTAATACTCCCCCAAACAAGACCATCATCGATCTCACCTCTCCCGGGAAATCAGGCAACGTTCCGTCTCTCTCAAGCATCCCCAAATAGCTCGTCTCATCAAACAACCCTTTTTTAGACAAAATTTGGAGCTTAGATCCATTTTAGCCTCCGGTATCCGTTTCTTCGCTTTTTTTCCTATTTGCTTATGTATGTTATGTAACTTAGAAAATGAAAGATGAACGTGCATCAGCCTGATCAACAAAGATCAGGTGTTGACATCATTCCACGATCTAATTCATGTCCTATTAGGCTTACCTTTTTTAATTCGGGACACACATCTTACCTCATGGCTTTTTCCGTCCGAACATGTATTGTAGATGCTGCTCTTAGTAGAGGAGTTCAATAATTTCCAGGATATTTCTTCCATGCCTCTTCACTTTGAATACGGGTGATTGAATATGCACCGAACGCCTGGGGAATTAAACCCGTGGCTAGGCTCAGCCTGGAGAGATGTCAAGAAAAATCTATAAAAAATATTGGTAGGAAGGGGAAAGTATTCTCACGTCTTCATAAGATATCGTATGAGGAAATGTTACATATTTAATCCAGCATGGGAACAAGATTCAATTAAGACTTGAGAATTCAAGTAATTGTCGAATTTCTTTGGACAATTGCTTTAAAAATGATCATAATACGGGCAATAATCTCCTCATAGAGGCCCTTGGACCGGCGTGACATCATAATCCATGCAATTGCCTTTAAAAGAAACCAATGCACTCGGAAGTAATTTATTTTGTCCATCAGACAGTAATCATTCTTTGCTGAATTCACTCCGTTTTTTCAGACAAATAATCAGGCCTCAATAATTATTCCATGATACTAAAATTGAGGCCAATGACGCTTCATACAAAGCATATTTTCATCAATATCAATTTAGTTGATTATTGGTATCATACCAGGACAAAGTAAAGGGACGAGGAGGTACGCCTCTTTCCCGACCCGAGGATTTAAATCCATGGTTAGTGTTGATAAGTACGACGATTTTAATTTGACGAGACCCAGATAGTTATGATCCTAATTGAGGTCAATATTGTCCGTTTTTGCCACAGGATGGGTTTCCATGGATTTGGAGTCCTGCAAGTAAGAATGTTGAATGTCTCTGAGAAGATGGGTTCCAAGCCAATTGTCCAATTCCCCATTTTGTTGGAGGGCGTGCGCATGTCTAGAAGAGGGTGGGTTTTCAGCCAATTGGCCAGTTTCCCATTCTGTCAGCAATAAGCCACAAATGAAATTGTTACATGAAACAAGACAATGCGTCACATGACAAGAGAAAAAGGAGGGGCGGGGCGGTGAATTTTTCAAAAATGAAGGGACTATCTCACAATCTTCTTAGCAACCGATATACGCGATAACGTCTTCAACACTTGGCAGTATCGAGTTTAGTGACACACAAGAGATCCACTTATTCAAAGACAGTTGAATCGCATGATTAATTTGTATAAACACGTCGATGAAATTAATCACAGTTGTTTTC